AAGCCAAGGAAATCAAATCCTCGTGTTTATTTGCAAGGATCTCTGTTTTATCTCTGGCTGCGCCACAGTAATTAAAGGAGACCTGTGCTCAAGTTATCTGCCTGGCTTTGATTTCTCTTAAGGTTATCCTGAATGATTTTATTCCCTAAAAAAGGGTATGTGAGAACATTTAGTATTTTCAGCCGGATGTTCTTTTTTGCACGTGTGTGGGTACTATTGATTGCCTTTACAGCAAAGAGGTTTTCTGATGTGATGAGGAATATTCCACCCCACTGAAGAGAGCTGGATCATGGGATCCTCCATGTGCCCCAGCTGCCTCACTCCTGTGCGATGCCGATTGGGCTATCGAGCTGGTTTGAGCTGCTGGTAACCCCTTGCTGTGGCACTGGCAGGATGTGTCAGGCCGGACTGCACTTCCCAGGGGAGGGGGAGAAAACTCTGCTGCTAGGAAGGGCTCCCACCTGTTGAAGAGCCAACAGAGGGTGTCAGAAGTCAGTTCCTGGTGGCTACGGGAGGCAGCAGAGCAGGCAGCAAGGCCGGCCCTCGCCTCACTCCCCATTCCTGCATCTCTGCTGAAGTGTGAGATCCTACCCCATGTCCTTTCGAAGCAGCCGATCTCAGACCAAGGAGGGGCCTGAGCGTGACTGAGAGCGCAGACCTCCGCTCCAGGTGAAAGGAAACCGGCTGCTGAGCATGGCCCTTCGGAAAGGCCTTCTCCCTGGGGAAAGGTACAAGGGCAATGCTTTGCATGTGCAAGCGGAGACCAGAAACCCCTCTGTCTGTTGGGAAGCATCAGCACAATGCTCTCGGGAGAGAGCAATGAAAAGACTTGGAAATGGCTTTTTTTTTCCCCCCCTTTTTCTCACCAGGTACTCGGGGCAAGTCCTTTTTGAGAAAGGCAATAGAAATCAGAAGTCAGGATAAGAAATAAGGTCAGGCTGCACTGGTGTTCCCTGCTCCAGCCACCTCCCCGCCTCCCTGCTCCAGGCTGCCTCTCCCGCACATCTGCTACGAGAGCAGAAATCGAGCCCCGGCGTGTCCCCCCGCTCTGACCTTCCCGGTCGCTGTTTTGCCACCTGGACGAAATGTTTATGAAGGTTCTGTCACTGTATCTTTCCTGGGAGCATTTCACATGTCATTTGCCCATGACACTGGGTGATTTCACGCCGTGTTTTTCATGTTTTTGGCTGATGGGTGCACAAGCATGACTGCCCCATCCAGCCGTGTGTGACTGATGCCACTTGTGTCTGCGGGTGGTGCCAGGGGATGGGTGAGGTGAAGGGTACCCATGGGCAGTCTGCGTCTCCACCACTTTTTAAACCACATAGAAAGAAAAGGCGTTTTTGTAGCAAGCCCCCTTCTCGCCAGGTACATCTTGGGGCTCTTCCATGTCTGGCTCCGGGCTGCTTAATCCACAGACCCGCTTCCTGCCTTGTCACTCTGGTCACGCTGTGCCTCTTTGCCCCGGCTTGTGATGTGGTTGTGCTGGCGAGGGGGGCCAGAAACAGCAGGATGGGTCCTACAAGGAGCCCGTGGTTGGGGTTTTCCCCTTGCTTGGTGGATAGGAGCCCCATGGAGGCTGGCACAATCCATCCATCCACCAGCCTCACAGCAGGTTAAGAGACCTGCACAGTTGCAGCCCGCGTGGTGCCTGACAGAGCAGGGGGAATGGCAGTGTTTTGGGGTCTGGCACCCCTGTGCTCGAGGCTAATGGCACCACGAGGAGTGCAGCGATGGAGCTGTAGGAAAAGGCTTCTGCCCGCTAATTGAAGCAATTAGCGGTGTGGCTGAGCGCTACCCAAAGCAGCCTAAGCAGATGGGGCCCGATCTCTACTGGCTTTAGTGCAGTAACACCTGGAGAGCCCGCATCCTCCGGCCACTGTTCGTGTCCACCTTGTCACTCAGCAAGTGCTGGTGGTGCCAGTGCCTCCTGCGGCAGCCGCCCCGGGGTGGTGCTGTGCAGGGCCAGGTGCCGGGGCCTCCTGCCTGCGATTCACCTGAAAGTCCCTGAATTTCTGAATTTTGCCCCCGTGATGTAGGGAGAGGGCAGGGCTTGGGGCAGAGGACACTCTCGAGGAGGGTCAAGTGAAGGAGTTTTTCCACAGGAAAAAGTCTGTGCAAGGGGAGGGGAGAAGTAACAGAGGAAGAAGTGAGTCTGTTTTTTAGAGGCTGGCTGCATTACTGCGATCTCCAACCCTGGCTCCAGAGCCGGCACCTGGCCCTGCTGTCTGGTCCCATTTGACAGAGACAGTCTGTCTCCGCAGCGCTTTTGGGGAGGGGAAGGTCTCTCCAGCGCTCCCGACCATAGTACTGCCGCACGTGGGAGGCTCCTCTCTGCATATTGCTCGGGCGAATGCAATTAGGCTTTAATGAGTCATTAAGATAAATCTCTGTTTATCCTCTGAGCAGCCATGCCGGGAGGATGCTGACAGTTGGAGCAGCAGGTCTTGCATCATGCCCAGGAGGAGCCTTCGTGCTCCTGTGCTTCCCCCGGCGTGAGCTGGGGCCGCAAGGGCCTTGTCCATATCCGTGTCCCTCTTCTGTGGGGAAGACTTCTGCCGAGTGCCTTCCCAAATTGCTCCGGCACTATGGGAAGGGAGTATCAGGCGGGGGCTAAGGAAAGGAAAGGGCCTTTGACCTATCCCTGATGGCCATCCTAGGGAAGCTTTTTGAGGCAATAAATGAGGTTTTAATACAGAATGACCTGGAAGGGTCAAGAGGTGTGTGGGGCAGTCGTGGCCCTGCATGTGGAGGGGAGCATGCTGAGCACGGAGGTAGGCCAAACAGCTCTGACCCACTGTGGGCTGGGACGAAGATCCCACCAAGGGACGAAGGCCCCTGTGCAGGGAACTCAGGGGAGAACTGGGGGGTGAGTGCAGGGGGAGAATTTTGCCCGCAGTGACTCAGGGCTCCACAAGAGGACTCGAGCTGCTTCGTGGGGCTGCCCCACTGTGACTGATCTTGCCGTTCACGTCGTGCTCATGGTAAAGATATGCTTGGAGTTGCTAGGTCCCTTAATAGGATTATCCCAGCCAAAGAGCATTGCCTGTAAATTCCTTTGGTGGCGACAGCAAGGAAAGCAAAACTGAGAGCAAATCCCATCTCCTTTGGGTGTGTTCGGAACAAGCCGAACACACGGAGGGGAAGGGCCGGCAGGAGCATGGATGCTCCTGGAAAATGGCCCTGGTGGGGCTGGGAGCAGAGCCACTTCCCTGAGAGGAGACAGGGTCAGGCTTCCCTAGCATAGGGCTCTTCCCAGAGTGCTGCTGAACTTGGTGGTGTTTCTTAGGGTCCAAACTCATGTAAAACTCGCAGAATAGCCAGAAAAGAGGCGCAGGAGAGGGGCAGGATCTTGATGGCACGCAAGGCAGGGCAAGCAGCGGGGAGGGCATCATCGCCCTGCAAGGCCGGAGCTCCGGGTGCATCTCCTGGCTGCTCCGCTCCCCGTCACCGGCTAATTGGCTGCTGCTCTCAGAGTGCTAAATCAAATCACGGCTCCCACAAAATGAAGTTTTCTGGATGCAAGCGGCCGCCTGCAGCATCCGTCATGGCCTGACTCGCCGCGCGCGCCCGTGCTTGGGTTAGCAAAGGCCAAATCCAGCCTCTCCTCCCTATTAGTGGAGCTGCAGGGGGGATGCGATAACTCCATCATTCCCTCCCCTCGGCATTTTGGGACACAGTGGAGCTGTAACGAGGCACGGGAGCCGAATGCATCCGTCTCTATTATTAGCACTGTGTCGGGTCTGCTGATGGATGGCAATATAAGCCAGGTTATGGTTGTATTGATTTCGTGGGTGTGTTTTTTTTTTTTTCTTTTTTTTTAATTTCGCGCGGGCAAGAACCTTCAGGAGGAAATCAAATCTGAGCCATCCTCTCTGCCTCCATATGGTAACTTTCCAAGAGCTGCGCATTGATGCAGGGTGGGTGGCTATGCTCCCAGCTCCTCATCCCTGTGCAAAGATCCGCAGCGCGTCTCTCTTGTGGGGTGCCCCCCATTCGCAGCAGGGACGGTGCCACTGAGCGCAACGCTGGGGCCGAGCACCTGATTAGGCAGCTCTGCTCCATGCATCACCACCTCCCTCAATCAATTACTGGCCGTGTGCAAGCAGCTAATTAGATCTGGGCAGCCAGCAACTGGCTGGCGCTGGGGTCCTATCAATTAGTGCTGCTGTGGGGCAGGCGCAGGGCTCCCTAATGAAATGTGCTGGAGCCAGGCGTGCCGGCACTTCCCGGGGTGACGGGTGACACCTCCCTTTCCCTTTCCTTTTCCCTTTCCCACCTGTCCCTGCAGGACCACCTGTGTCCACCCCGGCCGTCTCCGCAGGTCTGGCGTGACTGTAAGGCCGCCTCGGCTCTTTTCCAGGTAAGAGCAATCTGGGATCCGTCTCTTTTCCAGGTAAGAGCCATCTGGGATCCTGCCGCACACTGAGCATTCCCAAGTCAGGTGGATGTCACCCTCCACAGAGCAGCCCAGTGACGCCTAACGTCTCCCTCCCTGTTTATTGCAGGTCCTCTGGATCCCCCCTGCAGAAACCTTGTGCGGGAGCTGGTCTGCAGCGCTTCCCATCACGGACCAAGCGAGCGGGCGCTCCAAGCTGAGCCTCGGCTTCCCCCAGGGCCACAGGCTGCTAGGTTCCCAGCTGTGGGGAGGCAGGAAGGTGGGTGAGATGCAGGTGTCCCAGCAGAGCAGCTTCTGTGGCTGCAAGGGAAGGGTGCTCACACTGGTGGCTTTGGCTCAGGTGTCCCCTTTGGTGGCACCAAGCGTTGCCTACCTGTGCTGCACACAGCACCGGCTGGGAGGAGAAGGGCCCTGCCATGCAGCCTGGGCACCTGAGGGAGATGAGATCTGCGCCATGGTCATCACCGTCTCGGATTGGCCAAGCTGGTGGCTGCGTGGCTGGAGGCTCTCCCAGCCATAGGGTTGCGCATAGTTGGTGCCCGGGGTGGGTGATGCCTGTCTCCTTGCCCTGCCCTCCAGAGTTTGATGGAGAACCGGTCGGATGACAGCGGGAACTGTTGTTATCACCGGGGGAATCCTAGCCACGGTGATCCTGCTGTGCATCATCGCCGTGCTCTGCTACTGTAGGCTTCAGGTAAGCAGCCCCGTGCCTCCCTGCTCCTCCCGCCGAACCGCTGGCGTGGCAGGAGGCATTTTCCACCCCTGTGTTCACTGAGAGCTAACGTCTTTCCTGGCTCCGGGCAACTCTCCCCACTATTCTGAGGCTCTGCAGCACTTGTTAGTGAGGGTGCAGGCCTCGCTAGGTCTGTAGCACCAGATGGAGAGTTTTCCCCTCCCCGCCCCCGCAGCTCCAACAGGGAGGCTTTCAGCAGCAGCAAGCTGCAACCTCTCTCTTTTTAAAACTTAATGCGGTGCTGGTGCTGCGCAGCAGTTCTCTGCCGTGCTCTCCATCACACGGGTGTCAGGGGTGTTCCCAGCTGGCACGATGCAATTCCAAGCTTTCCTGCTGCGCTGCACACGGGGCAGGCCGCATCCTCTCCAGCTATGTCCCAGAGGGCTGGGCTGAGCCCCCTGCCTGCTGCTGCACGGGCCCCACTATCAATTGGGCAGACCGGAGCAGCCCTATTGAACAGCAGGGGGTTTCCTTGGCGGGGGGATGAGACCAGCTATTTTCTCGCTATTTTGCTTTGTGGGTAGGCAGAGCGCAGCCTGGCCTCGCTCACGCTGCAGTAGCCAAGTGTAATAGATAAGGCTGCCTGCTGGTGTCGCTCCCTCCTTCTCTTCCTCGCCCAGGGTGGTTCCTGGGGTGGAGGTGGCTCTTGCCTCTCACTTTCTGGTAACAGCCTTTCCCTTGTGCCCAGTACTACTGCTGCAAGAAAGATGAATCTGATGAGGAAGAAGAGGAGGAGGAGGAGGAGGAGGAGGAAGAGCCTGATCTTCCTACTCACGCGCATCTCGGCATGTGCAATGCCTGCAACTCTCGCGTCGTGGACGGCCAGGGCAGCCCCGCGCCACCACCGAATGAGCTCAGCCAGCGAGGCGCTCACAACTACTGCCCCACGTGCTCACCCTATGGCTCCCCCTTCTACATACGGACTGCTGACATGGTGCGCAACGGGGGCGAGCGCATCACCTACACGCCCGCGTGCTACAAGGAGATGGGGCAGCCCCTTGGCATGGCGGCCCTCCAAGGCTACCCGGTGAGCCGCCACGGCATCCTTCGCGAGAGCTTCCCAAACCCGAGGGCTGTCAGCACGGAGGTGTAACCACCGTTGTCACTCTCACAGGGTGCTTCAAGCAGGCGCCCGCTCGAGGGAGGGGGCTTTTCACTTGTATTTGAGGGGGTTCGTGCAGAGAGGACCCCGTAGTCCAGGCCAAGATCAGCACAACCCTCTTGCTGAGCTGCCCAGCACTGCTAAGCTCATGGGTAAGAAGATGAGAGACGTCCAAGGGCAATGTTAAAACAGTCATCCTTGAAACCATAATAAATGTAATTACTATTCTACTCTGTCTCCTGAGAGGACTTGTCTAATGAGGGCTATGTACAGTACAAACTAACCAAACTATCCAAGACTTGCCTAACCTTCCGGACTTCCCGAGCCTAGAACCAGGTCTTTGGTGTCTACATGAAGCAACCCTACCTGCTACTACCCAAGGCAATTCCCACAGCCTCCGGTACAGGTGAACCGAGCACCTGCAGCAACACTGGGAGCCGCCACCTCCAGCAGCAACAGCAGCAACAAGGTGGAGGGAAGGAGAGAGGTGGAATGCCAAGTGCTCCAAATGGATGGAAGAGCAAAGGTTTGGATCATACTGCATTAGTTTCCATTAATGTTTAGCTTTCCTATTAGAAGTAAAATAGGATGCTGTCTCCCACCTGCTTCAGTCTTTACATGAGCTGAAGAAGCTAAAGAGGAAAGGAATTTGTGTAACTGCAAGGGGACGGCGAAGCTACTCAGGTAGGCTGATGGACACAGGTTGATCCTTCTGCTTTCACAGCCCCCGCACCTTTTAATACTCACAAGCTTTCTTAGGAGTCATTTTAACTCGGGCCAGGAAAAATGTCAAGATTTCACTTGCGCGAAGCATTGCACCTGTGAGGAACTGCTGTCTCCACCACCTTCAGCCTTCAAAGCCCTCAGATTACCCTGACATTTCTGGCAAGCCAGAAGAAAGATTGTGTTCAGGAGAGTGTTCAAATCTGCTTTTGCCAGCAATAGAGGAGACCTCCCAGGTCACTCTTGCTCTTTTGATGGCACTGTGGCCTCCAGTGGGGCACCTCTCCTTTCCTTTCTGAAGAGGATGCAAGACCTGAGCCTGGGTTCATTGGCACTGTGGCCGGTAATGACAATGCGACCAGTGACTCTGTCTTTCTGCAAAAAATGAATGTGGGAAAGTTCCTTCTTCCTCCAGAAATCAAATTAGGTGAAAAATTACTGAAAAGGCATCTCCGTCATTCACAGGCACTTCCATAGCAACCAAAGCAGGATGGCTCTGCTGAGCACTTCTCATTCATGATAGCAAAGAGGGATCTGGACAGCAGATTCCCGCAGCTTTACAGATGTTATGAGAAATAACAGCAGAAAAATGACAACCCCACTTTTGCGACATATGGTAGGACTGCTCAGAAATATGAGTGGGGCTTTTTTTTCACTACTGCAGTTTTGAATTTGGCTTGATGCTCCCAGAAGGATTTGGACTGACCAGTCTTAACTTCCCTATCCATGTGCAGCTAGATAGGTCTCCGTATGAAGGCACATGTCACAAGAGCCTCAGTCACCCAGTGTTATCAGGCCGAAGGTTACCTTACACTTCAGACTGGTTCATGCCTTGCTTCCTCTGCTCAAGCTACCAGAAAAGAGGGAGCCAAGTAAATACTATGAGGAAGGTCCTTGTAAACCCAGTTTTATCCAGTCCCCCTTTTACCCTGCCTTTGTCTCACGTTATTCACCATCTACCCCATCTCCAAGGCAGAAAGACACTAGCTCATCATCCTGAGACTCGGTCCCGAGGCTGTGTTTCTTCTACAGAGTCTCCTCCTAGTCTCCTCTAGACACTGACAGCAGGGCTTTAAATGTTCTCTCACATTGCAGGCAGGCATGAAGTAAAAAATCAGAGTGTAGCAACAAAGTGCACTAGCTGGTAGTCTGTAGCTGCTGCTGCTGCCCGTCCAGACAGTACTCCCCTGGTAATGTAGTCTCTGACCCTTCTTCTTGGCTATCTCAGTAAATCCTACCCTTTCCCTTTAGGGCATCAGCCCAGCTAGGTCTCCACCCCACTGGCAGCCACAAGCCCAGGTGCCGCAGCTCCCTCCCGCACCGCTCTGCCAGGCAGCACCATCTCGGTCACGGACATAGAGCCCACTTGAGGACACTGCGTGTCCAGGCATCCGATTCTACCTCTTGGTGCGAAGCACAGCTTCCTACCGCCACGGCACTGTGGGCTGCGCCACTGCCTCGAGAAAGTGGTGGTAACACATAAGGCTCTTGTTTCTGCGGGTCACCCTTTTGGTGAAAGGCTTCTATTGCCAATCTTCTCTTGGAAGGCAACTGTATCATCATCATCATCACATGCAAACTGAGTATAACCCGTTGCCAACTAACAAGGTGCCAAGCCTGGCAAGGCAATTCCAGAGTAGCTGGATGGCCAAGATAAGGATTAACCTCACAGCCAATATATAAAACGATTGGCCTGGCATATCTACACGTGAATGGGTGAGTCTAAAAGGGCAGGAAATGCGGGAGATCCCAGTGTGGAATCCCTAAGCTTTAAGGGAAGGTGGGGGAACAGGAAGGGGGGAGGAATCTCAGATTATCTTTTTCCACGTCACATTTCTCCTCTTATTGTTCTCTCTTTGTTGCTCAGCTGTGAGTCCAAATATAATGTCAGAAATAAATGAGGACTTTGAAATACAAAACAGGAGTGGTTTCTGTCCTTTGGCAGGCAACACAAAGTGGGATTTATACACTGTTGCCCTGGAAGCTGTCCTGGCTCAAGGATTTGTCCTTCCCACCCTTTCTGCTTTTACTTTCCTTCTTCTCCTGCCCCTCCTGGTCCCTCACCTCTGCTCTAGGTGCATGCAACCCTAAAACACACTTTTACAGTTTAGCTCTTTATTGTGACACAGACTTTTGGTGTGTTTTGGATATTGACCTTGCAGTACAAAAATGAGCAGAGTGGAGAGGCTGTTGTTACCATGTGGGCTCTACTGCAGGCTGGCCTCTGTGCCTCCAGCTAGGCCTTCTGCTGGTGTGGGCCTAGCTGGGGCTGCCAAGTGAATTACTGGAGCAGAGGAGGAGCTCTTCAGAGAGGGACTGCCTTTCCCAACTTGCTTCTCAGTAGCTTTGTAGGAACTGGTGGTTTGTCTCAAGTAAAATCCTCTCAGTGGAGAGGGGACGGTGATGACTAAGTCCTAAAATCCTTCCTCACTAAGCAGGCTGGTTTACAGGGACTGGCTCCGTGGCCAAGTCAAGTGGGGTGGCTTCATGTGGTAAAGTCTGGTTCTGGGGGCTCTTACCCCTGAGCTTGGAAGGACAGTACGGCCTGGCAGCAGTCAGGGTGACTTGGTGCGACATGACTGGCAGCAAGCCTTCCTGTAGTACCAGTGAGAGCACAGCTTCACCTTCAGCACCAGCACGCAGTTCGCCGTCGCTCTGTCTTCACAGTCGTCTTCTGGCAGACAGAAGCACCCACAGAAGGTGTTAGAGCAGAGACACCCTTCCCCCAGCTGGGAGCTGGAGGCAGCAAAGGGCTCCCAAAGGCTCCTCTCTCTCCTGGCCCTCCCAGTCTCACCTGGTGCCTCTGTGGGGCATGGCTGGAGCTGGCAGCTCTGCCTGGCTTCTGGTTTGGAAGTGGGGTCACACCCTTGACCCAGCACCTCCCCTTGGTAGCACTTCACCTCGCGCAGTCGCACACCAGCCCCGCACGTCTTGCTGCACTGTTGGGATCAAGAGAGGAAAGGGATTATGAGAGACATTTTCTTCCTTTCCCAAAGGTCTCAGGTGTTTCCTTTCAGTCACACCTCCCCGTTTCCTGCATTGGTGGCTGTTCTGAGGAGGGCACACTAGTTTCAAATCCAAACTTCTCTCTCTCTGCTGCAGCAGAGCTGGGGGGCAGGCAGGGTGATGAATGAGTTCAGTTTTGCTTCTTTAATGCAATTTAGAATGGTTTTTGCTTTGGACACTTATGAAGAGGGACAAAACAGCTGCTCTGAGCCAGTTCTAGTCTCTCCGCGCTCCCCGCCCCCGGCCTGATTCCCTAAAAGCTTAGCAATTAAAGTGAAAGGAAAGCAGGGGAGAGGAGAGAACATGGACTCCCAGCAGAACATGGACTCCTAGCAGAGGGAGGAGACAGGGCAGTACTGGCTGCAGCGTGGTCATGGTCTTGCCTCAGGCAATAATCTACATGCTCTAAGGTTTTCTTCAGCCAGCAAGTGTCAGTGCCTCTATTGGCTGCCTGGACTGACACAGAGCAGGGCTCATGGGTCTGTCCAGACCTAATGTAGAACACAGAAGAGGACAGTACAAATCTTCGGTGCTCCATGCAGTTCATGCTCCATCAGCCTAGGTCACGAGCCCACCTCTCTCTGCATCCCCAAGCCCTACCTGAGACCAGGAGGTAGTGAACCATGTTGAACAGGGTCTCCTGAAACAGGCAGCTTGCTCCTCAGGCTTCTGAGAGGCCTCGCAGCGCTTCTCAGGATACTCCCTGTACACACCATTCTCCAGGCCTGCACACAGGACAAGCCGAGTCTTGATTCCTCGTCCACAGGTGGCATCACACTGAGAGAGAGAACATAAATGGCCAGGTGACGAATGATGCTCCTCAGCAGCAGAGAGTCAGGCTTCAGGTATGGGAGCAGCCTGTTCAGAAGAAGGTGCTTTGTGCGTATGCTAAAACCCATGGGGCTGGTGCTTCCCAGGTCACAGGAGCAACGATATCTGAAAAGGAGCTGAATTTCTCTGAGCGAGGGCAGGAGCTGGTATTAGTTTTAGCCAGCACTAGGGCAAATTCAGCTTGGCTGGCCTGAAAGCAGCTACCACAAGAGACCTGAGCAGCCAAAGCAAGACTACAAGCGTTCCTTCTGTCTTATTTCACATACATCCATGTTCTCAAAGACCATGTAAGTAATGGTACATGGTAATGTATTTGTGCAGCAACTGTGGTTGACATCTGGGCACAATGACAAGCTTTGCTTGGGGCCAAGGGAACCAAGTTGCTGCACTGCAGGTCACATGCATGAACATATACTGCTCAGCTCAAAGCCATACTGGTCTAGGTAGGAGGGCTCAGTGTCTTAGGAAGACACTGGGGTGCCGGCAGGCAGCGGGGGAAAAGATCTCATTCAAGCTGTGCTCTGCACCTTCA